ATCATTACAAAATGAACAAATCTGAGAGAGGTCCACATGTAGTACCTATATATGTAATATCAAAGCAATTGCACTTGCGGTTTTCAACAAGAAGTCGAAAATATCACTTTTTACTAAAAATGACAAAAATATTCACCAAAATTAGAGAATTGAAGATATCATCATGAAATGAACAAATCTGAGAGAGGTCTACCCAAGGTACATATACACCAAGTATCAAAGCATTCAGGCTTGTAGTTTTCAAGAAGAAGTCGAAAAAGTAAAACATTGACACGGACGACGGACGACGGACGACGACGACGGACGACGACGACGGACGACGACGGACAATCACTCATATGATAAGCTCCGCTCGACAAAGTCGACAGCGGAGCTAAAAAACGCCCCCTATCATGTTGCAAGCTCTGCTCTGTAATGCAAATCAACTTAAATAGTTAGTTGGTGTCCAGTGGAGAGAGAAGTCAACAGTACTTTTGCCTACTGAGAATTTACATCTTCAAACACTGCAATCTTTGTTTTTAAAGTGCGTTTTTAAATTATTATTTTAAAAGCTCTATTATTCTGTTTTAATAGCTGAAACAAATTCCTGTGACCTTTCATTTGTCGAATGAACTGTTTGTCAAATCCAAAATACCTATTTCTGAGTACAATTTTCTTTTCAAAATGTGGATGCAACGTTTTGCTTTTTATGTATTTTTTTATGTATTGTTTTTGATTTGATAAATTTGAACTAAACAGATTTTCTATTAGCTTCAGATCTTCATCAAAGTTTGGCACCCAATTCATAGGAGTGCTTAGCTTGTTTTCTGTAAAAATTTTAGGTTTCAGACAGTGCAAAAACTCTCATTATTACAAGATAAATGATTTGCTTCATTGAACACAGACAACAATGCATATTTCCACTGAGATCAGTGACCTTTGAATGTGTATCACCAGTGATCAGTCAAGTAGAAACAGTCAAAATATTTTATCAGATTTTCTCAATTTTTGCATATTTTCATACAGGACATCTGTCATTCATACTTAGGGAAGACTTTATACTGATGAATAAGGTGACCAAGTTTGGAATAGAATTAGTAAAGTTATTATGCACACAATAACAATTATTAAGGATGACGATGATGATGACAGCGACAGCGACGACAACGCTAGACAGAAATTTTTTCCTTAATATACCTTTCCCTTCCATCTTTGATGTTATGGCCAACGTAAAAATTATAGCAAACTTAGAACATTTGGCAAATTAAAAAAAAAGATGCTATGAACAATACTTCAAAACACAAATCTTGAACAGAATTTTCAAACAGTCTGATAGATTGTAATTTACAACATTTTACACCAAAATAACTTTCTATCACAAATTATTAAAATACTGAAAAATGTATTTACCTGATGCAGATTAATGACAAGAGCTCATTAACCAATGTTACACATTATATTTACATTGCTTTCAATGAATGGAAAATGTAAACGTATCTTATTATTTTTTCATTTCATATTTTTATGTACTTTTCATAAAATTATACTGTACTGATACATGTATTTCTAAAGATGCAATAAATTATAATATTTATTATTATATTCATTATCTACAAACTTTGAATGAAATCAGTCAAAAAATCTGTAAAACATGGATGTACACAAAACTATGGTTTTCAGACTTTTTAGATATACATTACAAAAATAGTGAATTGATTCAAAAAAAAAAAATATTGTGCATGTACCAGTATGTACAACTATATCTTTGCAACAAAATGGCTCACAAAACATCTAAAGTATGCATGATCACATGCTCTATATGTATATAGTTAGATCTCTGTTTTGAGATACACCAATAAGATGGATCCTAACATGAACACATCGAGGGACAGTATATGGAACTATATGACCATGCTCTATGATCTCAGTAGCAATCTCTACATAATACTGAATATTTTCTAAATAGTGATGGAGGTTTTATTTTTTTTTTGACATGTATTAATTCTAGTAAATAATAATTTTGTGTTTACTGCATATTTAAACTAGTCAACTATATCAGCTGTATTTTCCTTGTATATTGTTCAAATTGTTTACATAACTACCAAGGTTTCGGGTTTCATTTGTCACCATAATGTTTTGTATTATGGACACACATGCCTGATAGAGAGTGTTTTAAGCCGTTGGTCATGTACACACATGTACATGTCTATAAATTAGGGCCATGCACAGATTCTAGTCAGACAATTTGCAAGCTGCTGTGAAAACCACCATTTAATGCTGGCACAAAGAGGAGATTTACTGTTTACTGCATGATCTTACGTAAGAGAGATGAATCAAACTTCTGCTACAAAAATTGAATGACTGATTTTGAACTTGAGTTTCTTTATTTTAAGTTCAACGTGGAAATGCCAATCATTCAGAGGGGAATATGACGATGAGATATCTTTAATTCATCAAAAGTTATCATCATCAAATGTGCACAGTAATAAGCAGGGAAATACTTAAAAAGTAGGCCACAATGACACAATAACCTTTGTTTGTCTCGATTTTACAGAACCAACAAATTTATGGTTTTGTTTGTTTATGTTTATTAATCTAGAACTCATGCGATTACGTAAATTGCTGTCAAAAGCTACAAACTTACAAACGATGTTTGGTCGACAAATTCAAAATTGTTAGCACAACTTATTAAATCAATGTTTTCATTAATGCTTTTGAAAAATCATAGAAAAATAACAGTATATGTAATGTAATGGAATTATAAAAAAAAATTCTTGTTCAAGTGTATAACAGATCGCAGAATGTAATATACTGTAAAGGGGGTAATTATTCACTGTGTTTTAATATAGCTTATTTCGCTGACTGGAAAAATGCGCTAAATTAAAACCCAGTGAATATGTAAAATTTAGCATAGAACACATTATCTAAATGACGAAGCCGTGAATTTAAAACCCACTGAATATGCCTGAAATGGTAAATCAGTGAAATTTAAACCCAGTGAAAATTAGTCATTTTACAGTATCACATTTGTGAAAAGCTTGCAGTCTGAAAATTCTAAAAATGTATATTTTACTGGTCTTTTTTGTAGCCATTTGTCACAATCCCAAGAACAAAAATATGGATCCAACTAGTAACTAAACACTCAGATCACATACACACATCACCTAGAGATTTATACTACTACATGTAGTACCGGTATATTAATTATCAACTGCATTTCAGTATTTTGATAAGTAAAATTCCCTAAATTAAATCCACGTAAGTATGTAAAATAAATATACCGGTAATATTGTTTCTCTAATGGCAAATTCGTAAACTTAATATCCAGTGCATATGTTCAAAAAATTAACATAATAAAATTAAATTGCGTCAGAGACATTACATGCATTTACAGTAGTATGCCAATTGTAACAGATAAATGTTGTTCAAAAGTAATTTGAAACTTATCTATTTAATCAGTACTTAATAAAGAACACACCAAACAGTGATCACTGGTATATATAGTATGTCCACATATCGCCCAGTGATAATGGCATGTGTCAGTTGAATATTAAAAATGTAGTGTTTTATTTATAAATACTTTATACTTTTTAATAACTTTGCAATTACATTTGCTGATTATTAAACTAGCTACCTATTTCTCTGTAAGCTAAGTATACATTCATATTCAAACAATTGGATTATTTGTCATGTGATGCCTGTCATCTTTTCAGACTGATCAGTGTACATGTGCTGTACCCTTTGAAGTACAGTATTGGCATTAGTATGGGGTAACAAATTATTAAAACTTTAGAGAGATCAATTTTCACGATTTGGAGAAAAACAAAAAAAGTTTTGAATCAGTGAACATTTTTATTGAGGTTCCCTAAGACAGGGTGACGCAATGAATTTCTGGAAAAAAAACCCACAAAATTTTACAAATGTTTAGTGACAACAATTTTAACAATTAACAGTATTTTTTTACTATTTTTATTTTGAAATGTTTTTCTTGATATATTGATAGAATTTTAAGAATGTAATGTTTATTTGCAAAGGCAAAGTTGTTTAGTTTGACTCTGTGGGGTATGAAGAAACTCCAAAACAGAGCCAAAATCAATATACATGTACATGTAGTTTGTTAACTGTTTTATTTTTGCAAGAGATTTTGCAAGTTGATAAAAGTGGGATCTATATCGACCATGAGGTGGTGCACAAAAATACCACCCTTTCAAGACTGTCATTTTATTCTTTTAATTTTGTTAACAGAGCTTTTTTCAATGAGGAAACTTTTTTTTTATTCACTGGTAAAAAGTGTGTGATGGGATGCAGCTTTAAAAAGTTATTACAGTTTCAAGTAAATACTAAGACGGACAATATTTTTAAAATGCTTCCATTCCAAACAGTGGTACAGTACTACTTGTACATTTATTCTTTTAAATTTATTTCAGTGAACCAAACCACTGTAATTTCAAGCAAATTTAAACATATTTAGTGGGATGTATCCTTTGCGTTCATGGCAGTAAATCGGCCAATGATTGATGAAAAAAAACTTGCAAAAACTCATTGGTAATGAGTGTTACTACCGTAATTGGTTTGTACAGCCAATGAAATCATCTCCTTTGAATTTGAATGAAGCACAAAGATCTTCTTTCAGGAATATTTTATAAATGTCCATAAACAAATTCACATGGAATCCACAGTAGTGTTCCCCACAGTCACTTGATTATTACTTTAATAAATAGTACTGATCGATTTAATTGGATTTTCACCTCTCAAGCGACTGTGGTGTCCGCTGGGTATCTAATAGATTAACCGAATACATACTAGGATGGACTTGATGTAGATTTTTTATAGATTACAAACTACACTAATACGAAACACGCCATTTTCAAATTATTATTCTATTAATAAATTGTCAAAATGAATATAAAGCACGTACTATCGGCGGCAATGGTTGTGCTACATTACTTCCTAAGCATACATTTTAACAACACCAACACGGAAGTCGTTCACATTGACGCCCTTTATTAAATTACGGTGATTGATCGTACCGTGTTTTCACACTACCACGCTGGCCGCATGATACTTACCATGTCTATGGGAAGATGCCCCGACTGCGTAGTGGGTTACTAACGCATAGCAAGCAGCAATCAAAGTCCAATGTCGCAGGATTGCCATTGTGAGATTCTGATTACGTCCGTTTGTTGTCGTTAATGCTGTTGCCAATTTTCAAACTACGATCGGCTGCTATGACGCAATAGTAAAGACACATAGATATCACAGACGTTCACTACTTTGTCACAAAAACATCGGTACGCGATAGTGTCATAACATGAACTGGTGTCGTACAGATCATATAGCATCCTGACAAACTAATTAACACGACCATGTACCAACTCACAACGATACCGCCATCTTTAACTTGTATATTTGACCTTTGAACTCTATATGGCTAGTTAAGGGGTCGAAGGTCACAGGTGTACAATACAGTGATGTGGCGGGTGGTGACAGAGACAGTACAGATACTGTTATCCGATTAAGCTTCTGAATGCTTTTGAAATTATTTAAAAAAAAACAGTATAATAATAAATTCCAGTCACATGTTAACCCTTTTTAATTATTGATGTACATTCTGCGTACATTGTAGTCGTTATTACTTGACACGCCCCTCAAAGTACACATGGCGATATCACACGATATCGTCACATTCATGTGACAAACACAATAAAACTGTACTACGTGTAAATATGAAACCTCACTTCATGAAGTCTATGGGTTAACTCTAAAAGGTTGCCACTGGAAATATTGGATTGAATAGTAAAAAAAAACGAGTACAATTTTTTTTACCTATATTTTTTTCAAATTAATGTCTTCGTCGGATTTTGTTTCGAATGTTTCTCTGTATAAATTGTTTTCTACCCAGATATACCACCCGGATTTCTAATGTCAAACCCCTAACAGAAAAAATAAAAATTGGTAACAGCTGCTAAACAAACAGGCCAGCGAATAAAAATAAAAATATTGTATTCAACATTGATCCGTCGCCGGAAGCCACGAGATACAAGTTATTTGCAATGTTGCCTAGCCACTAGGGTGTCTTGGTGATAGACAAAGTCCCTTCCATTGGTGGATTAACTGCGTAGATGTACAGTTCTCATAACTGTGGTAGATGGAAGTAGTGTGTGATCAGTGTATTCATTTATATTTTTGAACGCCACAGTCCTTGTTCCGCGTCGTGCTCAATGGGTCCCATGTAGCGCATACTAGTAGTTTGTTTTCGCGAAATTCGAACGCACGCTGCGCGGCGACTATGGCGTCTAATTGATTCCCAATTATTGTGACCTAAACATACGATCTTTAGGTACATTGCAATTACACACAATATCTGTTTTTCTTTGCTAAACAAATAACTGGAAGGAATTAAAATGATATGATAACACAATAAGAATTGAAAGTGTCCAACTCAATAAATCGTAGAAAAGACAATAGATGTAATAATATAACTTCTGAAATCATCTGTGTTACTGTGAATTTTGCATGAATTTGTTTCATATGGAATATTTATTTTATATATTTCAAATGATGGTTGAAAACAACTAGGCCAATTACCGCGAGTTTAGGGCTCGGTCAATGACTGGAAGAAACCCACCAAGACTTGTGGGTAATAGACGTTGCTTTTATAGCGAATGGAAGCGTCTTCTTTGAATTTGAATGACACGCGCAGATCTTCCGGGGCGAAAGTTTTTTAAATATTTTATGAATTTCCTTCATGATATTCACAGTACGCAAACGCAAAAATCAAAATTGCAATACATGTTCTAAGAGCACTACAGAAACAAGAAATGAAACTATGAATCTAGATATTTGTCCATCATCCAGACGAATTATATCTGTTTTGGTCGAGAATGTTTTACATTACTAGTAATCAACTCCATAACGTTTCACTGTATTTTGATATTTTTAGGTTCATAGCTTAGATCGCAGCCATGGCAACACAGACATGAGTCATATAAGAGGTACAGTACATTGTGATGGACTCTAATCTATTTCCTTCGTTAAAGGGCGGTAATTGTCGCGCCACGCATGCGCGAAATATATGGGTCTCATACTAGTATAAGCAAAGATGGCGACTTTGACTGTTACGCGGATCAACGAGTACAAACTGAGATGTTACCGACCTTTAATTTGGTATGTTTCATGTGATTGGAAGGTATCGAAGGAGCCACCGGTAATCATTGCAAGTCGCGCCCAGATCAAACCTCATACTTGTGATTTCCATTAGAAGAGCGCATTGAATTTTAGGAAAATCAAAATTTATCACTACAAATGCCGCACATGCGCAGCGCGACGACTGCCGCCCTATAATGATTTATAAACCGATTTGTGTGACATTGTAAGTGCACATTCAACCGAATTTGACTTAATTACAAATCAATTCGGTATTTCTATGCATGTATAGGAATAGCGCATGTATGAGAAATACAAATGTCAAACTGTATAAATCACTCGTTTTATTCCAATTGTACTGTCACGTGGTTTAGAATACAATATGTACACGTGACACATCTTCAGACGTCAATGCGAAGCTCGTTGTCTCATTCAATGTTGTCGAGATATTACTAGCCGTCACATAAATAGTATCAGGTTTCGTCTTCTGAGTTTCAACAGTTATGTTGCTGCAAGACACAAGGAAATAAAATATGTATAAGTTATTCTCGTTGTATGAAAAGTGATACATCTATCGCAATTGTATCAAGTTGTATACCTACTACTGGGTGGTCCCGGAAGCCGCTACTGTTGAGTTTTTTTCAGCAAATAGTAGCGAATTTGAAAACCCGCTGTAATACTATAAATCAGAGACCAGACTTTAGTATTGTCGGTTTGTATTGTATCACCGTAGGCGGCGCGCTTTAAAGATTTGAGGCACGTAGAACTTATAAGAAACGAATACACAACTGATTGCACAACTCAACTCCGTTCGGAATGAATATACATTCATACAACGAGTATATGAATATTTTGTTAAATTTGCCATGCACCCTTCTTAAAAGTAGGTAAAACATGTTATAGACTCTACACTTGTTTCAAATGATTACCTTATTCTTTGACTTTGAGCATCGTTTGCACGTTTACCAGTTGTCTCAAGACAAGAAGGAATCTTCTTAGTTTTAAATAAACTGGGTGTTATAATATCAAACATTTCTTCATCAGAGGACAACTCATCGAAATACATATCACTGGCTTTCAAAACAGCATCGCTGGAATAATATAAATAGGAACATGATTAGTATCAGACAGCGTCCGACATTGTAATATACGGTCGCCGTATTGTAACTTAGCGGTGTGGTGCTACGCGATCGTCGGTTCGAGCACAGATATCTTTTAGGCGCCATGGCCATACGCGCAGTAGATTTACTCATAATTTTTGAAAGTTGGTTATAAATCGCATGACAATGTTCAAAAAGTGCCCCATCATTCACAATATAAATTTTTTCAGCATATGTCACCAGCCTATAATTTGAGATATGGCATAGTAACCTATGGTAACAGCGTTATAATACTGACAAAATGGCCACTACACAACAAAAAGGCAACTACCATATTCCCAAAAATTAGGTTGGTGGCTCCCAACATTTTCAAGTCAATATGCTTTTATTGTCGCGGAGTACAATTTATAATAAATAAATAAATAAATAAATAAATAAATAAATAAATAAATAAATAAATAAATAAATAAATAAATAAATAAATAAATAAATAAATAAATAAATAAATAAATAAATAAATAAATAAATAAATAAATAAATAAATAAATAAATGAACAAACGAATAAATGACTAAGTGAGTAAATAAATGAATAAATAAATAAATAAATAAATAAATAAATAAATAAATAAATAAATAAATAAATAAATAAATAAATAAATAAATAAATAAATAAATAAATAAATAAATAAATAAATAAATAAATAAATAAATAAATAAATAAATAAATACTAGGTATTTGCATTGATGACTTGGCTGACATAGTATTGACCATGCCGAGTATGTGGTGATATTTAGTTGCATAAAATGCAGTTACCTTACGCCACATTTCATACAGGTTTTTGTTATATGCTCTCAAACGCTTTAATTTGGCGATAGACAATTTATGGGCAATTTCGCGAGTCAGTTAAAATCGCAAAATTTTGTTGCTGTGAACATTGCTGTTTGATTACACGACACGGTGTGTGGGCGACTTTCGCGAAAGGTTGCTTACACGAATACCATACTAAAATCAGCACACTACTAAGCAGGGTGTTATATTCGTTGTGGGACGGTAAGTAATTGTATTAATCAAAATTGATTTTCTATGCGATGGACGATGGAATAACGGATGAAATAATTCCACTACTTATCAGATATCATAACATACTGAAAAATACTTTATTTTAGCTGGAATTAATTTTCGCTGAATAGACTTTTTGTGTGTTTTGTGTGGATTTTATTTTCACTGATTTGAATTTAATATATAGAAAAAAAAAGTATATTCGCTGGATTTTATTTTCACCGAATTATTCCCTCAGCGAAAATAGCGCAAATTAATTCCAAGCGAGAATAAAGTATTCCACAGTAACATAAACTTAGACTAGAGTTGACGGTGAGAAAGTATAAATGTATAATAATACACGAGTCTGAGTAAAACCGGGTTCTTACCTAGAAACACTTGTCAGATCATTTGTTGCATCAGTTTTCTTCTCGTCAATTGTTGTATTGCTTTCAATTAAAGTGGTTGCACTGGTATAATCGCTATTGCAGCTTGTTTCCGATGCAGTCTTATTATTATCTTTATCAGCGATTGGCAATGGACCGCTCTCATTCTTTGGGACAGCTTTATTCACTTTTGGGGAAGCGGTTGTCGCTGATGACAAACTAAAATGTTCCATTTGCATACCGGACCCTCTAGGCAAACTTTTTTGTGTCGCCGGTATATGCATTGAGTGCTTATCAAGTATGGGTTTATACGAGCATTCACTCGGCTTCAGGTTACCGATATCGCCATGTGTGTTTTCCGACGCGCGTTTTTGTATATCGCCGTCTCCAATCACCCTACCAATGACAAATGAACTGCCGCTATTTGGAACACGTGACCGGATTGAGGATGGGTAACGGTGGTATACATGGTTGCTATGCATTGGTCTGTAAGTTGACATGCTGGCTGAACTGACACCATCGATGAGAACTCGGCCGATTTTGACGGAACTTGGATAACAGCTACGTGTGCGCAGATCCTCTAAATGTCGTGCACTGCCGTACGTCGTTGATGAACTACCGTAATTGTTCTGGTACATCCCGACCGAACTAGGCCCATTAACCAGAACTTTACCAAGCTTTGCCGCAGACGAACCAACACTATTTCCCTTGACAGTGTCACCCATATCACCGCGGTATGTTTTCAATCTTCCCATCTTCAGGCTGACGTTACCGGATAATGTTCCGATAATATCCAAGTTGAATCCCAGATCTGTACATATACATAATATATACAACACAAATAAGTTAAAAAAAAAAAAAAAAAAAACTATTTAAAGAGACAGAAACCTAGACTGTGAGTTATTGTGGATTGTATCGCGGTTCATGAAATGATCGCGTTCATGGCGTTGTAGCGAAAATTATACCAGATATAACAATGCATGATGTATTGCTAATATAAATACATTTGTAATCAGAAATCAAACCTACCAGATTTCCAATTAAACTTACTTTTGGTTATTTCCGGTGATATTGATCACTCTTCTACTTAATACTTTACTTAATACTTTACTCTTTCTACTTCTTTGCTGTATTCGCTGTTACTAAAATACAACAGTAACAGTGCCGTACTAACGACATACGTCACAATCGACAATAATGTGTATGTACGCGTCATGCGCGAGAGGGCGCACTTGAATCGAATTCGAAAGCGGTGACTGCGCCGACAGCGACCGGTGGTGGAATCAAGACGCCTTGTGTTAATCTGAATGAGAGTATCCTACAGGAT